ATATATATATATATATATATATATATATATATATATATATATAGAGGGAGGTTCAAATACAAAGTATTACTTATATGAAAAATGAGAAGTAATCTTAGCCGTTAAAATGAGAAAACGAGTGGATCAGATCAATTTTCAAGAGAAAAATTCGGTGCCAAAAGTGTAATTATTAAAAACTTTTTTGAAAACTAACGTGACAAATGTGCATCACTACGGAGGAAAAGTGCACTACACTAACAATAAAGTGCATTACTTTTCGGGAAAAACATAACAAGTATAAAGATCGTTCCTGATGTTTTTTAGAAGGTGAATGTGCACCATTACATATTGCATATGCACTTTTGCTATTATGTATTACACATTTTTGTTGATCGTGAGTTTTGATCTATACCATCCATTTTAAGTAATCAAGGGCTTAGATTAGTTCTCACTTTTCATGAGAAGATCTCTTTGTATTAGAACTCATCCCTATATATATATATATATCACAATTTTTTTCTTGCAGGAACCGTGACCACTGCCAGCCTCCCTGCTCCACCCTTGGAAAATAGATAGAATCTTCTCAAACTATCACCATATTTTACTTAACATCATGCTAGTCTTTTGAGGTTATAGATATAGATAATTAATAAAATTGTTTAATTTCTCATCAATGCCAAGTTGAAATCAGTTACTAGAATTAGCCACATGTATATCCTTTATATTGATCTTACTTTTCAGCCAACTTAGCTACATGACTTGGAAGAAGTCAAAAGTCAAGAGAGTAGAAACCAACTTATTACTAAGCAAAAATACGGAGTAGAAAACAAAAAAACTAATAGAAGTCAAAAGTCACAACTTAGAAGAAGCCAATCAGTTTCGTAGCCTAACTGCCATCAAAGCTGGCTCTGGTCAGTGATACTTCTTTAAGAAATGTATCCATATATACCAATGTTTATATTTTTTATTCAACTATGTGTGTTTCATTCATTGGTGATTGATACTAAGATCGATGTTATGTCTTGCTTTGCATTTTATATTCACAATAGCAAGCTATGAAAGAAATTGAATCAAGTGAAGGAAATGATGAAATGTCTTCTAAAGAAGCATTTGAAAAAGTTATGCCTAATGAACGCAATGGATGTGGTCAATTGTATGGAAGAGGTGTCACCCAAAAAGACCTTCTTCAAAGGTAGAAGAAAATTACTCAATCAACGTGTCGAATGAATCATTGAAATCTATGAGGAAAGAAATGCAAAAGGAAATGAATGAAAAACTTGCCATTGAGCGAGCTAAGATGGCTGAAGAGTTTGAGGCTGAAAAAACTGGTTTGTCAGAAAATGTATTGTCACAAGTGTTGAAACAGCTACAAGATACTATTCCAGGATTGAGTTTAGGCCCTCAAGCTATACTTGCATCGGCTAATCACGAGGTATTTTATTCATTTGTACCTCTTCTTTGTTAGCTTTTGTAAGTAAATAACATTATTTTTTTCGTTTCATTATGCAGGATCTGTCAAAGTGAATCCAACGAAGCTGACTTTTGCGTGCAAGAATTATTAAATCTAAGTGATTTTTATGTTAAATTACTTACTGCAATTTTGACAAAACACATAGCTTGTTACAAGTAACATTTCTTTTGTCCAGGCCAAGTACTTTATCCAGTATCATATTTATTTGGCCTATTTTCAACTTTGAATTACTTTTGGTTTTTGCCCTTGATGTAAAATCTTAAATATCGATAATGTGATGATATTTTGTTTGTAAAATTGGCATTATTCAATACATTGCAGAAGGTACTAGTTAAGGAAAATGGTGCACTGTATTTTTACTATTATTATGTCAATATGTAATAGTATTGTGTATTGTTGATGAGCACTTTGTCACAGTGCGTCAAAATAATTTTCAATACTAACACTAATATGTAGTATAGCGTAGTACAGTTCGTATCCACAGGGAAAGGAATACTTTTCTTTTTATGAACTTAGTAAATAAAAGGGGGGGTTTGGATTGAGTGATTTAATTTAATTAAAAACTAAGATGAACGACTTATATGAGATTTAATTCAAAGATAAAAAGGACTTGACATTGCTACTTTCCACTTGTTGATATATTTTAGTCGATCGTTGTTATATCTATAACTTATTCCCTCTTGAATACTCAATCGGGGAGTATATGCACTTCATCGAGGGTAGCTATTAACAACGACCTTTCATTAATAACCCTTACTATTAATCAAATATAGAACAACGCCTTATACCGATTTAATAGTAGCAGTTAATCTTTCTAACTCCTTGATGAAATCAATTGAGATTGATAACCTCAACACAACGGTTTCGGTTTAACCAACAAAATTAATCCCTCTTAAGTTTATTAACCACGACCGTGCATTAATAAACCGAAGTTACTTACTTGTGAAACCATCAACGATTAACCATCGGTTCGTTGATCGTTTCTAGTAATAATTAATATATGAAACAAAACTAGTTGATCCTTTAAGTAATGTTCAAAATATTAATATGAAATATGAATATGAATTAATTAATATTCAAGGAAGAATATTATTAAAGAAGATGAATCCTATTATAATTAATATCAAGATGTTAACTAATTGTCATCTTAGCAACACTCCCCAACATTAATATAGAGGAAGAAAATACTACTATAACTAATGTCAAGATGTTAGCTAATTGTCATCTTAGCAACACTCCCCAACATTAATATAGAGATAGTATTAAGGAAAGAACTAATAATTAATATTCAAGGGAAGAAGTTTAAGAAAATAACTCACAACTTTAATAATCAACAAGCTTCAAGAGCAACACCAAGAAATGGAAGTTTAGCTCCTCATTTGGAGACTAAACATAGCTAGAAAAATATAAAGAAATGTTATTCTAAACTGAGCTTAGGAGTATGGAAGAAGGGATGATCTTTAGAGAAGAAAAAGAGTGCTATTTATAGGTGTTTTTCAACACCTTTGGCCGGGTACCCGATCGGGTCAAGTACTTACCCGACCGGGTCCGGTCAAAATCAGATAATCCGCCATTTTCTGGTGATCTTCGCACGCCGGGTTGTCCCCGGTCACTTCTCACCCGACCGGTGAGGTATAGGGCCCGACCGGGTCCAGCTCTTTCCTCAGCAGTTCGGTTTTCAAATCAGACCCGACCGGGTGAAGTCCTCTACCCGGTCGGGTATTTGCTCCTGGACAGTCAAAATTCCTTTTTCTTCACTTCAAAGTCCTCCTTTTCAACACCCTAATTCCTAATTCTACTTTACAACTTACAAATGAGAACTAAAATACAATTACAACTAAAATCACATAAATGTTTACAAACTAAATAAAACGTCAAACAATCACCATCAATCAAACATAAAAACATATAATTATGCACCACTAATTAGTGTGCATCAATTGTGCGCACACACACATATGTATATATAAATACCCAACACAATACGTATTAAGACTCATGCTAATTCCCTCTAATTCCTGGAAATGCTACAATATGTCATGAAAATGCTACAAAAAGTGTTCAGTGGGCTCCACCAAGTGTGTAAAAATGGTACTGCATATTTTATAAACATGATACAATTGAGTAGTGGAAAATGCTACAAAAAACATTACTATAAAATGCTACAAAAAAACATTAATGAAAAATGCTACAATAACCGAGCCTAACTACAGCACCATGAAATGCTACAAAAAAAATGCTACAATACGTCTATTGTAGCACCGCCCGGATGTAGCATTTTAAAAAATACCACATTTGATGTATTGTGGCATTTTTGCAACCTATTGTAACGTTTTGTATATGCTACAAAAGCTATACATTCCTCTAGTGACGTCTATTACTTGTCGCTATGTTTGGAATAAAAAAATTGGAAGTGAAATACATTGCCTGATTTAAAGAACGTTGTATGGAGGTGGGTAAAAGTTGCTAATTAATTTAAGGCTATGTTTGGCACTCCGAGCTGGAACTCGAGACTAATGTCTGAAATGAAGGTCATTGTCTGAATTAGAGACTAATGTCTGGAACTGAATTATAAAGTGCTGAATCTGAATTGTTAGCTGAATGAAGTATATCCGTTTGGCGAAAAGAGCTGAAGAGTGACTGGAAAATGTAAAATTACATTCAAGGGCATAATATATACTCCTATTATTCAAAAATATTTATTATAATGATCACTAATTTTTCACCTAAATAGATCGATGTTTCATTTGTCCGGCTTATTTGATCCTAACTACTTCCGTAATACGAAGTACTGGCATTAGGGCCAACCTTTACTCTTGCATCCTAGTAAGAACGATATCGATCTAACCCTTCGTCAACAAGGTCATGCATCCATAAATGTCACCCCATCAAGTTCCTAATTAAGAATGGATGATCCTTCAAAAATAATTAAGAATGGAGGATGCACTGTGTTCCCTTGGTTTAGTTTTCAATTATTGACTGAAAAAGCTATATTTTAGGATTTTCCTATAGTTGATGTGCATCCAACAAAAGACTTCAGAAGAATAGTCGAGTATATATCACTCTTGGGTAAAATCTGCACTAGATGATTATGGTAGAAAATAAATCTAGAGAAAAAGAGATAATAGACAAAGAACCACGTAGAAGAAGAAATTGAAGAAATCGAATGAAGAATTCTGCAGGGAAGAACCGAGAGATATGAGGCTGCGTGCAGGGATAATTTAGGAATATGAGTTGATGATTCAATTGGCTGATTTGAGACACTACGTTTGACAACGTTTCTATTCAGATCTTTATTTTCAGCTTAAGCTCCGTGTAGGTTGTTATCCAAGCACACATACTTTGATAATTATTGGTTGGAGTTGCAAAATTTAAGCCCTTTATTAGCTGAAATGATGTGCCAAACATAGCCTAAATCTAAACAAAATGAAGCAGTCCGACTACATAATTTAAATAAAATTTACTGTAAAAACGATGTTTTAATAGAAATAAGATAAAATACGAATAAGCTTATTGAAATCTCAATATTACAGCTAATACGTTCCAAATAAGACTATACCTACAATAATTATTTGAGTTAATTAAATTTGAATTCAATTTAGATTGAAATAGTCGTCCAAAGTCCAAAAGAGCACGAACAAATATCACTCATTTTATTATTTTTAAGCTACCTCGATTTTCTTCATCCTCTGAACCGTATGAAAGGGAACGTAGTTTTATTATTTTTAATGGCAGCCTGAAAAACGGAAGTTAGCGCTGAAATTGAGGTCGCTAGATTGCATGAGAGTTTTTGTAAGTTGGGGGTGTGGGCAATTCCGTCGTAGTTCAGCCGAACACTGATTATTCGTTCAATCAATACCACATTACTGTATAGTTTGTCTCTTCTGCTACAGAGAATGGATAACGAAGGGGTACATCAATTGACGAGACAGATGAGTCTGAAGAAATCTTTCAGATTGGGAATACAAGCGTCTCTCGCTGCGTGTTCCAAGGAGGTAGATTCATTTTCTGGTTCAAACAGAAGTGGAGAATTTCTAGCTATCTTTCGTATAATAGTGTTATTGCTAATGTTTTGATTTCACCTATTTATTTGGACATTTGCAAAAGGACTTCCGCAAAGCTTTCTCAAGCTTCAGCCCAAAGGAGCAAGAATACATTCATCAGTTCTTTACGCAGGTATTTTGTTCTATCTCGTCTTGTTTCTTTCCGTTTCTTTGTTCCATTTTGAGATTTTTACTACTAAAATGTAAAGAAATTTCATTTTTTTTTAAATTTGAGCTGACACGAATGTTTAGGTATGAGATGAATTTTTTCCCTCTTTTTCTTTTCCTTTCTTTTCTTTTGGGTTCTCTGCATCTTAATCTTCATGATAATTGAGTAGTCTGGAGCCATTTGAAGTTTTATTGATAAGAATTGTTTTCAGGTTGCTTCTTCTATTCACGAATGTATCGAGGTAGGACAACAATCTTTCTATTCAGTACTTCATAAAATTTCATTTTGAGACCAAATATATGCTAGGCTGTTTTGAGCCTGTAGTTTATGACTTCATGAATAAATAAATATACACACGTGTTCTTGTTACATTGTAGTACGTAGTATATGTTTAGTGCTAGTAATTATGGTTGCCTTTGTTTGTTAGCAATTTGTCCATTAACAGCTAATTACTTAGAAAATATGCATTGACAGGTTGAAGGGTGAACTATATGCACTTAAGCAGTTTGTGTTCTTTGAACATTTGAATGCTTGGTTGTATCTTCTAGCTGTAATATGCAATGTGTTTGTTTGTTTATCCCACAATTTCCTATGTCTGTACTCTGTACACTTCATTTATTGTTCAGTTAAAAGTACAATGACAGTGCCCTTTACTAAAGTTTCTCCCATAAAGCATCTATGTTTGTCAAACTCTGCTCTAGATGGTTATCAGCTTGTTGGTAGAAATTTTGTGGGAACATTCTAAATACTCTGCTGTTATCCAATTTCTTATGACTGCTTTTAGTTGCTGTGATCTTTTGAAACTTTACTTGCTAGAGATAATTGTTCCTTGATAGATACTATTATGTGTTCCTAAACTCAGGTGAGAAGTCTTAGTAACATTACGGGCTTGCTTAATTACTCTACTTTCCTATTGTCTTCCATGGTTTGTTTTGTTGTTGCATACTGTTCAACCAACATTAGTTTCCAGCAATAGAAATTACAAAATTGTTATGCCCTAACATCATCATGTCTTTGCAGAAAGACTTTGAAGATATCTGCCGGGAAAAAGAGGTATTTTTTTTTGTAACTGACCATTCATATTTATTGAGTTGCACTGTTGTTGCGTTCTTCACTCCCACTGTCAAGGTCTCAAGGAAGGATTCTATTTTCTTAAGTTTTTTAGAAAAATAACTGATAAATGTCCCATTTAGTCATTCATTCTTTCTTTCAGTGTTTAACGTGACTGTGATCACAATGTTGTGGATTTCTTATTCCTTTACAGGTAGAAAAAGTTCTTGATACTGTGGAACTTCTTGTGGAAGAGCATCGCTTGGAGCCACTAAAGTAATCATCCTTAGGCTTTAAGATATACGCTCATCTGCCTATGTTCAATGCAATTGGTTTGATAGTAAAGCAGGGGAAAATTTATTTTGACGGCATTTTTTTAAATGCTCCTTACTTCTCCACCAACTAAGAAGTTGAGGTCTGTAATCTGTCATAGACTCGTAGTGTCATTTATTACTGCTTGTTTGTTAGGCTGGAAAGCTAATTCTCTTTTTTTGTATTCTCATGGGAACCTCTTTTCTATGGTTTCATACAGAGAATTCGATTTCCATAGGGATTCAAATTCCATATAAAAAGGATTTGGTTTTCTAGATCCTCCCCCTGTTTTTCAGTTCAGCTGAATTCTAAATTTGTAAAGTAATTATGGAGTATGGACTCTCTTGTTTACACGCATTATACTACTAATTCCCTCCAATTGCAGTCCATATCAACCAAACCAAGGACAGGAATTTAAATTGTTATTCATGTCATTCCTACCTACAAAACCGATACAATTTCATATCACTCTTTCCCTTTTCCCAAGGAATTTAGTACCAGTACATCATACCTGATGTATGAAAAGTCTTGTATTGTTCACTTGACAAACTCATTAATGGATTATCTTCTGTTGATATCTTACCAATTTCATGAATGAATGAATTCTTAGATGCCTCATATCAGTAAGGACTCTAGAAATGCATTATGAATTTTAAGTTATAGTGATTCTAAAATGTCGGAAAGGAATACACCAAGGGCAAGTCAATTAGAACATACTACAAAAGGGTTTGCTTTATCTGCTTGAAGTAAAACTGTGTTGTCAGTCCTAATCTCTTGTCGAAATATCCCATCCTGATTTCATACAGGAGTAATGCTTCTGAAGAAGTGCTGAAGCATCTGTTAGAAATAAAAAAGTTCGAGGTCAACCGCTTGATGGGCATGGTGGAACAGGTAAGCATGAAACCTTACTGAAACTTTTGTTTGCTGATTTATATAATTCTCTCTCGCTGTTTTTAATATACCTTATTATATGCTTGATTGAAATTCAACTAGTGGACACAACCACACAAAAATTGTCATGTGCTAAGGCATGTAGATATCATTTTGAGGAATCAGGGAGTGCTTGTCTAGACTCTTCTATAAGCTTGTGATGGGTATGATAGAGATCAATGAAGGCAACAACATACTCTTAAGGATAGCAGTACCTATTATGAGAAAATCTAAAATAGAAAGGGAAAGGGGACTAATAATAAATAATTAGATTGTTTGTATACAGGAGCGGGGTTGGCTAATATAAGTAGGAGGTGTTATGTTTAGTTGAGGAGGTTGGAATTATCAATTGGGACTTGGAGAGTGGGCACTCTTAAACTGCCTTTGTATTTACACTGATCCTGTCTTGGAACTGAACAACATTGCCAAAGGGGCTTGATAGTCCCAGTTTCTAAACAATCAAACAACCATAACAAATAAAGAAGAAGCAGATAGAAAGATATGAGATGAAAACCAAATCTGGTATACCGTGAACATGGCCGCTGCTCTCCCTCGAGAAGGAGAGCAGCGGCAAACCCTACTCTCTATCTCGCCTCTATGCTCTCAGCCTTGGAATTATGGGTTTTCATAAGCTAGCTTCCTTTTATATGAGAAGTTGGCTAACTTATGGATTACAAAGAAGCTAATGGGCCGGTATACATTTGTGCCCCATATTACACATTTAACTAATAACTACACAAATACAAAGATATTTAATTAGATTGGACACCATAAAATATTCCTAACAATCTCCCCCTTGGTGTTCAATCGTGTTCAATCAGCATTGCAGTGCAAATATCTTTGTTTTTGTCGTTATTTGGCTTCCTTTGTCTTTGAACTTGACTTCTTGAAAAGGCTTTATGAAGAAATCCCTGCAATCTCCCCTTTGATGTCTTCTTTTCAATTTGATCCTTGATGCTGGGAGTTAAAAAATCTTTTGCTTGTAATCCTTGCCTTTCAGAAGTAGCTCTTAATCAGCTTGAATGAAGTCCGAAGACGCCTTTAGAATGAATCATCTTCAGAATTCGAGTATGTGACCTTTGTGTACTCCACAATGTAGTCTTTTTGACTATTCGAAGTGAATGCGTTTGAGGAGACCTTGTCGGTGGCACAACGGAAAAAGATGGTTGACTTGTGTGAGCATAGCTGACCATTTGAGGTGTAGAGATAGAAGAGAGTCGTTGAAATTTTTAATAGGAGAGAAGTGTCCGAGAATGATTTGGTGACATTTAACAGCATGTGGACCACTCTCCCCCTCATGAGTCATGACGATCCAATGAATCGGGGCATCATGCCTTTATTCTTTTTGAACTGGGAAACAAAATAGAAAAAACAAACCAAAAAGTTAAAATGACAAAACCGGATACACTGAGGTGTTCCGTTATCACAACATCAATTTAAACATGGATGTGTGGCCTGTAAAAATGATAGAAACATTAAAGCTCTAACAGGACTTCCAACCAGTTATTGTGAAGCGTCCGAAAAGATGTAACTTTGGTTGTTATTTGCATGATCATAAAGATCAGCATAGATAACGTAGCCCCCCGGGGTCGCGTAGACACCCGTTATCATCACTATAGAGATAAACTCTAAAGCAATGGCCTGAAAATGTTGGTGATTCTGATAAGAACAGAAAAATAAAATCAACGGGGTGAACCGTTGCCCAGATAATCAACGGTAAAAATACCGTTGCCCAGAGCCAAAAGGCTAAACCAACTTTTATTCCAAGTTCCGCATGAATGAATTCTTAAACTAGGAAACAAAATCCTAGAAATCCTAATCAACTCCAACTAGGAAACATAATAATAATGATCCTAATCAACTCCAACTAGGAAACAGAATAATAGAGATCCTAATCAACTTTAAATAGGAAACAAATAATAGAGATCCTAATTAACTCGTAATAGGAAACAAATCAGGATAATTAGAAACTATAAATATTAATTAAGCATCCCGCAACCAGCCCATGAAGGTGGGCTCAAGCCCGTCCCCGCCTTCAGTAAGCCCACGGAGGCTTCTGCCCCTGTTCTTCCAAGCCCAGATTTTGCTTCATATCAATTCCATCCCCCTTCGAAAAAACCTTGTCCTCAAGGTTGAAATCCGGAAATCGGCTGACTTTTGTTCCCGGGGCTGCCCAGTATCTTCAGAAAAAAATGAGATCTACTCCTCCACAATCCCTGTTTGCTTGGCTCCGGGCAGCCGTTCAAAGCAATTGCCCTGAAACTGTGAGTCAAAACGAGCCATCAATGCCTGTGTAAGCTCATCCCATGACATGCCCGACTTTCGTGTCCGTATCCTGGTCAACCGGTATAAGGCTGACCCTTCCATCGCAACTACAAGGGCTGCTGCCTTCTTTCCCAGCAGAGCACAATTCAATTCGAACCGTTTCTCAGCCTTATCAACCCGGCTGATCGGTTCTACTTCGTTAAACGAGGGCAACGTCGTAAGATAGGAGCTACATAGACCAATTCCGAACGAGGATGCTGCTGCCGCGTCGAGTGAAGTCACCACCGTTGAATGCTCCGTCGTTGGCGGTGCGAGAGTCTTTTTTAGTGCAGCCAATGAGGAAGTGACGTTGTGCGGCTGTTCGTGGCCGTTGTGCGCAGATACGTTGGAATTGCCAACCGTGTCCGAGCTTGTTTCCGTCAAAACTGGTGGAACAAGTGCCTTGGTAAGCGCTGCCAACCAGATGCATGTTGTGCTCCTTTAGGGTTTGAGTTTGCTTGGCCACCATCTCTGACAAACGTTCACCGATAGATCTCGTCATTCTGGCGGGACGGGATCCGGCAGGTCGGACCAATTGATAAGAACAGAAAAATAAAATCGACGGGGCGAACCGTTGCCCAGATAATCAACGGTAAAAATACCGTTGCCCAGAGCCAAAAGGCTAAACCAACTTTTATTCCAAGTTCCGCATGAATGAATCCTAACAAGGGGTTTAAATACCCATCCACTAATTCTTAAACTAGGAAACAAAATCATAGAAATACTAATCAACTCCAACTAGGAAACAAAATAATAATGATCCTAATCAACTCCAACTAGGAAACATAATAATAGAGATCCTAATCAACTTTAAATAGGAAACAAATAATAGAGATCCTAATTAACTCGTAATAGGAAACAAATCAGGATAATTAGAAAGAATAAATATTAATTAAGCATCCCGCAACCAGCCCACGAAGGTGGGCTCAAGCCCGTCCCCGCCTTCAATAAACCCACGGAGGCTTCAGCCCCTGTTCTTCCAAGCCCAGATTTTGCTTCATATCAGATTTTTATATTGCAACAGCAGGACTTCCTTCCAATCATTGGTCTACATCTGTAATAGATGATGCCTATGGAAGTTCTTGCAGATCATGAAGACCTGTAACTGACTCTAAAAGTGCGTCTGTGTCCTAGAAATTTCAAAACATTTGGGAGTGAGGTAACTAGACACGATGTGAGCAATGAAAGTTCAGTGGCATGGGGCTGAGACCACTGTAGTCAGTATCACTTGCCTCGGAAAGAGACACTAATGAGATATGAGGTTCCCCGTGAAATGTGATTAAACACTTGTCTGTTGGGAGACAAATGAGTGGTCTTGGGTAGGGTTAAACATGCACTGTTGGACAAGATGCAGTGATTTCTACCCGGGATCTGAATAAATTCAGTCCTGTACCTATTGGGATTGTCCAGAGTATTTGAGTGGCTAGGAGTAAATGTTCAATGGATAGTAGGCAGTTGAGGTAGCAGACTTATCATTGATTATTGTTTTCTTGCTCACTTGCGCCTTCTGCTTCCTAACGCTCATAATGATCACTTACTCACTTACTCTCGGCTTTGTCCCTTGGGTAGACTTAGTTGGGTTTACTAAACCATAGGAACATGTTCTCTCATTGATTTTCTCTCTATACTCCCCCTTCAACTGGAGCACTCGGTATGCTTTGTCATTGTTAGGCACCAGGGAGGATAACATTGAACACCCCCCCTAAAATGTTGCATTCGTTGAGAGATTCCTTGCTTTGTCGGTGTAAGGCGTCAGGAGGAGAAACTGAAACTCCCCCTCAGAATGTGCAAGGATTGATTGCTCACAGCTCGTTATAGCTGCCATGTGTGTGGAGCAATCTGAACAAGTACCACACATGACGGTTTCCATAAGCTCATCATTTAGAATTTCAGCATATTGATGATCACACAATGTTGATGAGTTAGGGGAGGCTTCAGCAGTTGATTGTTGATGGTTGTAGAATTACCGTTGACGCGAGGTTGATTGAATTATCTACGATTTTCGAACCTCAACAGTGTAGTTTAGAAAAACTTTGACCTTAGGTTTGACTTTGGAAGAATTTGAACAGATTTGCCTAAGTTTTGACCTTGACATCGGTGATTTACAAAGTTTGTAGGAAAACGAACGTTTTGACCCTCAAGGACTGCGCGTGAGGGCGCGTGAAAAAGGGTTCTGGGGTAAACCCCTAGAATAAATGTAGATCTTTTCGTTAGCTTTCCAACAAAAATAATTCGCTTAAATCGGATCACCGAGTTAAAAGTTATGGCCAAAACAGTGTGAAGGTGCTGAAAATCTCGAAATTTTGAGTTTTTGAGAAATTTCTTCGAAGTTGAGGTTCTCGATGTTGAATATCGAGAGCAGGTGGAGTTTAAACAAAATTCTAAGGCAAAACCTCGAAATCCTAATCTCGAGGTTTAAATCTCGAGGTTTAAACTCGAGATTACAATCTCGAGGTTTAAACTTCGAGATTACAATCTCGAGTTTGCCTCGAAGAATAATGGCGAAATCCACCTGCAAAACAAACCTTGAGACTTCGAAATCTTCAGAATTTCAAGTTGTTTGGAACATCAAAAACTTTGGAGTTTCGAAAATCTCATAATATCGAAAACTTGCTGTTTGAAAAACATCAGAACATCGAAAACTTCTAAAAACTTTGATAAGCAGGGAATCATTTGAATATCCTATAATGTAAAGCTTCGAAATGTTCTGAACTAAGAAAGATATCAAGCTTCGAAAAATTATGTGATTAAAGAAACTGCAAACTTTGAAACATTCAAAACATCGAGAAATTCCAAAAATCTCGAAATATTTCAGAATGTCGAAATCTCAAACATCGAAATCCTAAAATATCGAGATCCCAAATTCCGAAATCCTAAAAAATGTCGAGATCCTGCAAAATTAAAATTTTGAATTTTGAGAATCCGAAAACTCTTCTGAATAGCCTGAAGGTCGAGGTTCTTCCTGTATCAGTTTCAGTTCGAAATCATTTCTGCAGCCATGTAAAAGTATAATCTCGAGATCTCAATGAAGAGATCTTCGAAATTGAAAAATTGCAGAAATCGAAAACAGAGATATGCTGTAGAACCGTTTTGAAAAGGCGATTCCAACAGTATAATTTTTTATAAAATTTCATTCACAAACAAGATTACAGGAACAAATCTCTATATCAAAGAAAAACAGAAGAAAAACATAGCAGTTCTTCGTTAGATTCGAAAAACGCAGATAGATTCAACCTGTTTCACGCCTCGGCTCTGATACCAATTGATAGTCCCAGTTTCTAAACAATCAAACAACCATAACAGATAAAGAAGAAGCAGATAGAAAGATATGAGATGAAAACCAAATCTGGTATACCGAGAACATGACCGCTGCTCTCCCTCGAGAAGGTGAGCAGCGACAAACCCTACTCTCTATCTCGCCTCTATGCTCTCAGCCTTGGAATTATGGGTTTCCATAAGTTAGCTTCCTTTTATAGGAGAAGTTGGCTAACTTATGGATTACAAAGAAGCTAATGGGCCGGTATACATATGTGGCCCATATTACACGTCTAACTAATAACTACACAAATACAAAGATATTTAATTAGATTGGACACCATAAAATATTCCTAACAGGGCTGAAGAGGAGGGCCTGTATCACCCACCTATCCTTACCTATGAGGGTTAGGGGGAATGCCAGTAGATTGTATACCTCTACAAGATAGAAGTGTAGGTTTTGATTACAGGTTACATATGGAAAGTACTGGTCCAAGGCTCAAGATACTCAGGAAAAGAGATATTGTTGAAAGGCAGAACCTGTTGTTGATTCTTGATGTTGAAGGGTGCAAATTGGTACCTTCTGCCAAATATGCAGTAATCAGCACATCTCTGCATTTTCTCATGGATGTTAGTCACTTCTTCCTTTATTCAGTGGTGCAGGGGTATAAGTGTAACATAATTGAAAGTGGTGTGTGTGTTCGCTATCGAGGGCATGAGACTGGATTTTATCTCAGAAACAAGGCTACAGATGACATGAGATTCATTAGCAAGTAATTTCTGTTTTCTGTAATGCAGCAGGTTGTGCTTTATCTTCCCCAGATTCGAACACAGTTGAAAGCATGACACGATATAGAATCTCAAACCTTATGAAGAAAATTAAAACTTAGGATATTGGAATACCAGTTTCAACATAAAAGTTGATCTAAAAGGAGGAGATTGTCCGTCATTGTTAATGGCTTGGTAGGAATAGATAAAGTTGTCGCGGTTTAAGATGAAGGGAAGATGAGATGAATATTGATGCAGAAATTATCAAAACAGATGTGATGTGAAAAGAAGTAAAGAATAATTATTTTAATAAAGAAGGCATACTTGTCATTAGGAGGGCGCTTAAGTCCACACTTATATAATAAATAGGGCCCTCGTTTTATTAAGCACAAGTTTAATGAGATAACAAGCTTATTATTTTTTATTTAACCGTCTAAAACCGTTTACATTGCCTAAATTAATAACCTAACAGTGTAGTTTAGGAACACAAGGAGCCGGTTTCGTGAGTGTTACTTGGCTGCAAGTTTGATCTGTTGAATTTTCTGAAAGGAAAAAGGTTTGGTAATAGCTTTCTCAGCCAAATAAGTAAGTGAACATTCTGCTAAGCAGAATAGGCCAAATCAGGCCTCCAAACGGGCTTGTAGTTTTGGATTCCTTGTATTCAGTTAAGGAAAAGTTAACTGAAGGGATATATGACCTTACATAGATTTCATATCTAGTATAGGTTTGGACCTAACCTATACTAGAGAACAAAGAAGAACAAAGGCTCTTAAGAGAACAATTTTCAAAGTTTCACATGAAGAAGGGATTATTTTCTATGGCGGCAGCTCAGATGGATGCGGTGACTATGGAGGCCATCGATTGGTGGTCAACATACGGTTCAGAGACACCTGAGTTAGCGGAGGTTGCAAAAAAAGTATTGTCACAACCTATAAGTAGTTCCTCAGCTGAGAGGAATTGGAGCACTTACTCTTACATGCACAGTGTCAAGAGAAACCGTTTGAATTGTAAACGGGCTAAGTTGGTGTTCATTCATTCAAACATTCGTCTTCAATCAAGATTTTCCGAAAGTTACAAAGTTGGCCCGAATAAGAAGTGGGACATTAATCCTGAAAGTGCGTATGTGGAAGGGTCAAGTGCAAGACTCGATGAGCTACAATGGGAAGATTTAGAAGAAGATGTTGGTCCAAATGATAAAGGAAAGAGGCCAAGGATTGAGTACTTTGGTGATGTTTAATGTTTTGTTGAAGTTTGTTTAATGTTTATTACTTTATTTCCTGTTATGTTGAAGTTGTTGGCTTGTTGCTGGAATTTTGAAACTTTGTTTACTGTTTTGTTATCTTTTATTGTTGTTGCAAACATTGTTAAGTTTGTTTAATGTTATTGAAGTTATAAAAGTTAATTGTTTAATATTATACTTGTATTAATTATATTTATACTTAGTGTTTTCAATATGTTTATGGTTCACCGTACCATAAATAGAGGGTACAACGTACCGCGTACCGAAATCGCGTACCGAAGAAGCCTACCCCCTACGTATCGAATTTCTAATTTTGGCGATCCGCGTTCCCGTTTTCGTACCGCGTACCCAAGCGTTCCGCGATCCATGTGACTATGGGTTAGGTAACATTTTATTTCAAATTATCGTCAATTGTGAATACGCCGTGGTATTTGTTTTTGTAGGCAGAAGAGCGGAAGCAACTTATCAGTTCTCGTATTGACTTCTTAAAGAACGAAAAGGTAGATTTATCAGGCGCTATAGATTTGGTGGAAAAGGTAATTTACTTTAGACTCTTAAATGACTTGCAACATAGACTTTCATTTCATTGCTGTTTATTAAAATGTTCTCCATCCTTTTGCAGTTAAGGTCTTTGACTTCGAGCAACACCACATGCAATTAAATCCTCGAGTTATGTATGAACAAGTAAATGTTATGAATTAGGAGAGCTGGATTTATGTATTAACCAGAAACCGTTTGTTTCGAATTTTGCGTGGGCGTGTCTCGTAGCTTATACATAAGAGCAAATTAAACCCAGCTTAAAGCCTTAAACTTTTCTTTTCTCATTTTTCCATCCAATTCTGATCCTAAAATCAAAGTTGTAATGTTGAGCTTTGCCCCAAGCTCATTCTTCTCTATATTATTACTCCCTCTGTCCCGCAATGAACTTCTCACTTTCCTTTTTTGGATATCCCAAAAACAAGTTCTCATTTCCTTAAATGGCAAGTTAATCTACATCAAAACAGTGTCAAACAGTGCAAAACAGTGTCGAACAGTGTCGAAACAGTGCCAAACAGTGTCGAAACAGTGTCAAAACAGTAAAATTTACCTCATGGTAAGTTTATTTCCTTAATATGTGTGTAGGTTAAACTGTGAAGTTCATTGCGGGACGGAGGGAGTATTATTATTAGTATTATAATTATAATTATAACTATAATTAATTTATTAATTTAAAAAATAAATGTTTAGTGTAATTTGGTTTGCGCACATGATAGAGCTGAAGTAGTCAATTGTTTCATACGCTGACTAATATGGTCAAAATTTTGCTTACCCACACTCTTACATGCACCTTCCCACCAAAGTTGCTCTAAATGAATACTGTCAGTCTGCTATATTATTTATTCCTCAGCTCAAGTCGCAGTTGACATTTTCCTCCTATGAATTAATGCAAAATAATGTATTCTACGTAGTTTTTTAGATGCAAAATAATGCATACACCAAGGGGCTAATGAGGCCCAGGATAAAGCCTTGCAGATACCCAATGTTCCTCTAGCCCTATCACTATGTTATTAATTTATTTATGCAGCGATATTGCTATGGCAGTTTTGTTTTTATGAAAATTTTCTAAGGTATGAGATAAATGTTACAATTTTCCTCAAATAAGACTACAGACACTGCAGGATTAATCAAATATCCATAATTCTACAACTTTGCTAAAATACCCGTTTGATCAATATCCATTATGCTCTCTGCGACCACCTTGATTGTATATGCAAGCGGAAATTCTCAAGTTTGACTTGGGATTATCTTATAAAATCTTGGTTGCAAGTAAGCCGTGATAATACTAGGGGTGGACCCGGTCTGGTTACGCGCTAGTTCCGGTCCTGGACCGGCTCATCTTGGGGGAGTTGGGGAATTGGGACCGTGACCTCTTCAGTTACGTTCCACTCCCTTTTTTAATTTCTTTTTTAATTTTTATATCCTCCCTACCCTCCTACCAAAAACCTATGTTGTGAGAACTGACCTGGATTGGGTGGGTCGGCCATGAACCGAGCGATCCGGCACCTAACCCGGTCTGTTTACTACTAACCTGCAAATGTGGGAAGAATCGGGAAAAACTTGTGACCGCCTTAACCTGGTCCACTGAAACCCGCAATTATAGAAAAGCTGGAAATAAAACATTAAATTCTATGAAAGGTGGATTTTGAACTGTCACCTTCCGCCAAATCTTTAGTCCACTTTTAGATAGGGGTGGACTCGGGTCCGAGCCGGGTCGGGGTCGGGCCTAGGCCCGGGCGGGCCGGCGGTTCAGGAGTGGTGGACCCGGGACCGGCCCGGGTAACCACCGGGTCCGGTTCGGGCCGGGTTCATTATCAATTTTTTTTTCCCTCTTCCTAATTAACCCCCCTCTCACCCCAACCCCCCAAACCACCCCAAATGGCCCAAAATACTCACCCCAACCCGAAAATAAAAAAAAATTGAAAAAAAAATCAATTTTGGCTCGAATCGGGCCCGGGCCCGGCCGGGTCGGGCCTTGTTTTGGGTGACCCGAGCCCGGACCGGAAAACCCACGGGTCAGGCCTACCCGGACCGGTCACTGACCGGGCCACCTGGTCGGGCTGGGCCGGAACAGTACCGGTCCCGGGCCGGTTCCGGGCCGGGCCGGTTCCGGGCCGGGCCGGAAAAGTTTTAGAATTAAAAGTGGGTTAAAAACAGGATTATACGAATTATATAGAATTATTTTGATTTTTGGTCCTATGAATTTTGCGTCCATTTTGCATTTCGTTCATGTCTTTTACTTTGTTTACTTTTGATACTTGACTAATGTTTTTTGACCATTTGTAATCCTTTTCTAACGATTTTAACCATTAAAACATTGATGAAATGACTATATACAGGGGTGGATCTAGTGCTTTGGGAGCGGGGGCATGTGCCCCCCATAGAGTCAAAATTTTTCATATATAATGAAGCAATTAATTGTTGAAAAATAATTTGCCCCCAATAGTTTGTTTACATCCTAAAATAGTTAAACGAAATCCTATAGATCAAACATCCAATTAAGTTAATATCGATTGAATTGGTCAAAACAATATATAAATATAATTTAGAATATAAAAATGTTATCATTATTAAATGCAATTTTTTCTTGTTGGTTAGATACCCAATAACCCAATTAAGTAAGAATGGTAATAAAAATAATGGTATTAAAAGTACTTTAGATGCCCTAAATAATGTCTTTTTTCAGGTAGAACTATTATTTCACAACTTAGACGTATTTACTTACCTATCACCAATTATTCAATAATGATGTCACAAAACTAACATAATGAGTATAAAATTACTATTCAAACTAACATAGTGGACTGATTTTAACGTCTATATTTTTTGTAGAGTTTAGAATGTCAAATTCCATTAATTAAATTCTAATTATATGCTTAAATTATTCATATTTACTGTAAAACATACTTTTAAATTGATTAAAGGTACATGTCACAATTAATATGTTAATTTAGATATCTTATTCAAACATTGCTTTCTCATAAATTTGCCCAACTTTTGGTGATTTCTGACCAGTATTTGGAACAAGAATATGTCTAAATTGCATAAAGCTAGAAATTCATGTAACTAATTTAATCTCTCATTTATAATTATGAGGGCATGAGTGCATGCATCTCTCACATGAATAATATACTACATAATAAATATTACTTATATAAAAATTTGTTATTAAATTGATGATTATGAGATTACATGGCTATAAGTACGAGATTACACGCCTCAAGCCACAAAGTGGCTAGAGGGGCCTCCTCCTCGCCTATTCATTTTTTTGGCAAGCGGATGTGCAAAAATACTTGCACAAATGCTTATTATTTATGATAATAATGTTCTAAATATAAACATTTGGCTCTAGCCTATGTGTATATGAATATATATAGACTAATCTTCCGGTTAGGCTTTCCAGACCGGAACTGTCGTCCGGACGACGGCTTTTGGGTCCCATCCCGGTGGAATTTTTTGATGAAAATTTTATGTCATGTTCTTCATCAAGTCTAGTTCATCCGAAAACGAATTCAGCTAAAAATTCAATTGGGAAGGCTGTCAAATGATTTTTGGAAGATAATTACGCCAAAATATACATATAAAATGCATTTAACTTCCGAAATTTATTAGACGGCCTTCCCGATTGAATTTATAGCTGATTTTTTTTTATAAACTAGACTTGATGAAGAACATGTCATAAAAATTTCATCAAAAAAGTCTACCTGGAAGAGGCCGAAACCCCACCGTTCGGACGACGGTTGTTGGATAATTGATACCCATATCCTATAACTAGTGAGAGTCTGAACAAGAGTGGAGAAGAAATGATGAAGATGAATAGTGTATAGAATCAATATTGATTGTATGAGCTGTGTAGCCTCCTAAAGGAGTATATATAGGGAAAATCCGGGTCTGGGCCTCTAATATGGGCATGACAGACCCGGTTACATAAATGGACTGATAGTACAAACAACTAATCCAGAATATCTTAATAATAATAATAATAATGTACAATAATATGAATGATATCCACTAAACGTGTGTGGGCCGCTGTCCAGGCCCAGTAGTCGGCAGACCAGGGGGTCGGAGTCCATATATTCCATCAGGAGTCCCCCACTCCCTGAGTCGAGAGTACTCGAGGCGAAAGGGAGTAGTTCAAACTGTATCTGCAACGTTCTTCTGTCTTTGATTTCTTCCTTTCCGGCCGGGGACCACCACCCTTGTCCATGATGGGGAGGTGCCTCGTTAAAACCTTTACTAGGAAAAAACCCTGTGGGGAAAAATCCTAATAAAGGGAAAAAGAGTACACCTAGCGCCCCCAACATGAAACGAGGAAGGTAGGCCCCTTCCGGCATAATCATTTTTGTCTAGTTCAACCTGTCTTCATCTGACTTAGCTCTCGTTCCTGCTCATGCGTGATGTTTGCTGCTCATCCAGAAAATCTGACCTCTCAGTCCCCCAGTCCCCCACTCTTTGAGGCGAGTGGAGTCGAGATGAAAATGAGTAAAGTCATCTTCGTACCTACACATTTAGCATGCATATAAATTTTTTCTTGGGGTTTATGTTTCCGATCGGGAGTTCGTCACTTGAAAAAGTGGAAATGTGAATTGTTGATGTAATAATAAAATACTTAGTAGAGTAGACATGCGAGCCATTCGTACGCAACGGTCGCCACTCTTGGAATGACTAAGACCGGTCTTCATGCCCGACTTGGTCGGGGCTTTGTGCCTGACTTGGTCAGGGCTTCGTGCCTGCTCTGGGTCAGGGCTTTAAATCCTGGTGATGGGTCTCAAGTCACAGTCTACTAGGCATTTGATCATAATTGTGTGATAGTTTGACATTCGCCCGACAAAAAGAAATGATTTAAATAAATATAAATAGTATGAAAATTAAAGAGTACTTATCTTTTGATGGGCTGAAATATTGGATATATTGCTGAATTTATGGCCCATTACTGTTGGTGAGAATTCAAATTTGGACTTGAAGTAGACTTGGCCCACATCATTTGACCGAACTTGGATAAATCACCGCCTCGTACTCAGAACTTTGTGAGCACTCAAGAGAGCCCATCCAAGTTAGCCCCCGGAACACTTAAATCCATCTTCGTGAGCTCTCTTTTAAATCCATCATTTGAGTGGCATGAGTGGCCCCCAGAAAACCCACAGTATCATCCATTCCATAGAAGATCAAGTTTGAGTGGTTGTGAGATAAATCACCGTATAGAGCCCATCTGATGCGGACGAAGGGAAATCGAAGGAAGAGGCACCGGCCATGGTTGACCTTCGGCACTCCGTCGCTGATGCGTCCTGGCTGAAGAGCGCAGGTCTCCTGGCTGGTCTGCGGATCCACAGTCACACAGGCATCTTGGCCGCCCTCGTCGTCCCTGGTTATCG